CATCGTGGTCTCGCCCCTCCAACTACCTGCACAGTACAGTAGGACCCCTTCTTTTATAGTCATTGGCCTAATTGAGGTTGGGAGCTAGGTGAGCCGATTGAGCGCACTTTGCCCATGCCTGGTATAGAGTATTGACAAGTCGGAAATGTTCAACGTATAGGTTGAGTTATTCTAGATTTGTTAGTCGGCCTGCTCTAAACCCGTCCTTTTATTGCTCTAAGGAGGTAATTGGCCGCTTATCACCTCCCATTTTACTTACCTGGGGATAAACATACTTGGTTGGTCGGGCTTCGTAACATGAAGTAACATATGCCCCACGGCCTGAAAAGCATTTTAGCAACATATTTAAGCATAAATAACTATTAAACTTTTCGGAATAGAAGAAAAAAAAAATATATATATATATGTATAATATATATATATAAATATATAAATAAATAGTATATATAAATAAATAATTCGGCATTAATAGTCTTCTGCTAACATCAAAAAACTTTTTCTCGCTACAGCATTATGAAATTCTGAAATAATTTATTCGGCTCCATCCAATTACTGATGACCGCAGGATGATGAATGATGAAAATCATGGGTAATCATTATTAATCAATGGGTAATAATTAGATCGATGATTCCCATGAAGCAATGGTAATCCGGTGTATCCCACGAGGTCTCTCCAATTACTAATTCCCCAATACTGCGATATAAATTGCATATGATTAGGGAAGTTGACACAGAATAACTTGCAGCATGAATAATTGGCACATTACGATTGGCTGCGGTGTCCATACAACTTTCAGAGGAAAGTCGGTAGAAATGATTTATTTTGTAATTGGATCACGAAATAAAACCCGAGATCAAGGGGGTAAGGGTGTACTATGTTAACTGAGGGTAAATTTGGTTGGCATTGGAGGTAACTTGAAGAGTCCCTCTGTTGCAGTGTGTTAGATCTCAGTGAGATTCACACTTCATTATTTAATCAACATCAGATAGCAATAGTTTTCCCCTGTGTTTCGGTTGAAATCTTTTATAAAATTTCCATAAAAGCCAAGCCACTATTACCCATATTCATCGCGGGAACAGTTCATCACGGGACACACGATGACAAATTTCATCCTATGGTCGATTGATCAGAAAAACAAGCAGTTGGCCGTTCCTAACGGCAGAAGATATATAATTGTTGCTTCACATGTTCTTTTTTAATTTTATTTTACCATCCATTTCATTAATGGTTGGCTTCCGAATGGAATACCTATAATCTGCAGTTGAATAGCTCCTAAAACTAATTCTAAATTTCAATATCTCCTGAATGCATCATCCGATCAAGTCTACCTGCAATACCAAATATTACAGTCATAAGAAGAATCTTTCTTCCAAATTTCAAGTTGATAGATTGATTTTCGAAAATCAGAGAAAGTACACAACGCATTTTTCCAAAAACATGAAAATACAATTTTCTTCATATTTTTATTCGAATGCGTACATCTCTTTAATTCATCTAATAATAGGGCACGATGTAACGAATATTGTGAAAAAAAGAAAAATTAAATCAGGCGACTCGTTTTTGAGATATTTGAGAAAATCGGTTTAGATACAAAGCTGAACATCTTCTGAACGAATCATTCAGCCTAGCCTATCTTTAATACCAAACCGTGTAGTCATTTCTATCAAATTTGAAGTTGATATTAGGTCAATATTATATCAAGTCCTTATTAAGACCAATGAACTTACAACATTTCCGATTTTTTGGGAATAAATTTACCCGTTTATTTTTCTTCTTTTGTAAAAATTGACTCTCAGTTGACCATCTGCACATACACACATGGCCTTCAAACCTCGTAGTTTTACGTATCAGACCGTGCTACATAATTTCCAGGCAAAATTAGAAAGTCGAAAGATCGAACGATTGCAATGCTTCTATTCAGAAACAAAAATATTAACATATTGAATCACAAGTTGTCTTTGCTTTCGAACGATATTAGTAAATAATAGACGACGGCGGAAGGGGAAGGGGGGCCCGAGTGGAAATTTTGGTCAAGTTCTAGTCAAGACTGGATCAGGTCATACTTGATGATTGATCCGGAAGTGACACGGTAACTGGATCAAATTTTGATCAGACATGTAA